CTACCACGCAATCACTGTGAATAATACCAAAAGAACTGTGTTTCAGGTCCACAATTAGGAAAATCATGGAAATTGGCACCTCTCCCACTTTCAACCACAGGGGCATGACTGACCCCACTACAGCTAAAGTTCCACCTGTGATTACCCCAACACCACATTCCCACAGGTGGCTCCCAGCCAGTGGCTGAGTGTGGCAGGGATACAACAGCAAACCCACTCCCGAGACCTTCTTTGACAGACAGCTTTTCTCAGGGTGCAGAACCATCTGGAACACTTTCAGTCAATCTCCTCCCCTCCTTCCCTTGGGCTCTGATTTAGCACTGCAGTCTGACAACTCTCCAGCCTTCCTTAACGCTCTCCCTGTTTTCTTTCACATCAGCGCTTCCTGTTTAATCCCACCTTGGCCTCTGCTTCTCTGAGAATGCAGCTCATTCTCCCCAACGAGCATTCAGTTTTGAAATTCTAGCTTGGAAAAATTAACAATACAGACAGGAGAGAAGCAACTCTTACTGGGGAAGAGCTATTTGTAGCCAAAACCAACCAGCTTGGAATACTCAGATCTATACCTGTAGCTAAATCTAACTCCTTACTGCCTGTTATATGGAATCGTTTTCTTTATTATCACTTTTACAAACCATGACTTCAACCTGTCTATAAAAATTTATCCTTTCCTGGGCCTGGAGAGGTGGCTCTGTGGATAAGAGCACTTGCTGCTCTTACAAACAATCTGAGTTGTTTCCAACATTCATGTGGGGTGCCTCACAATCTCTTATAACTCCAGCTCCAAGACAGCCAATGCCCTCTTTTGACCTCTACAGGTACTGCACTCATGTGCATGCACACACACACACACACACACACGAGAGAGAGAGAGAGAGAATTTAATTTTTTTTAGTTTACTCTTCCCCAAATGTCTAAAGTAGGCTTTCAATCCCTTATTCTAAACTCTAGAGAGTATGTGTATTTGGGAATTCAAAACTTGTAGAAAATTAGTATATCTTTCATGTTTTATATAAAATTCCCAGGAGGACTTGATAGCACCCTAATCAAAATATTAATATTTCCTCCACAAAACACAAATTTTAATACAAGTAGGTTAAAGTAAATAGTATTAAGATAGTTTAGGTAGGAACAGACACCAAATTAGTTCAGTAAAAGTTAGGTTGTACCAAATAAATTTCTGAACACATTCAGTTTTCAGAATTTGTTTTTATTTATTTATTTATTTATGTATGTATGTATGTATGTATTTATAGATCTACACGATATGAGGAAAAACCTAGGGCCTCACACATGCTCAGCAAGCTTCACTCCCAGCCCCAGTGTTTCTGATGCTCAAGTGCACATAAGGAAAGTATATCCTCACTAGAGAAAACTATGCAGCTTTTTAAAAATGCAAGTGGGCCTCTGTGCTAACCCAGAAGAGTGGCCATGCCAGAGTGTAGATGAAGAATGCACATGCAAGAGCAGCTTTCAAGGGCAGAGTTTCTTTACACGTATATAGAGTAGAAGGAGGAACTGTGGAGATGATCTTTGCTCAGCCCACATGCCACTCCACACCTCTCCTACAAGGTTTTTGGGGTTTTGTTATTATTGTTGTTGCTGTTGATGGCGATGGTGGTATGTGTTTATGTGTGTGCATGTGTATGGTATGTAGTATGGTGTGTGTGCAAAAGCATAGATATGAGCTTGTGTGCATATGAGTGCACATGCATGTGTGTGTGCATGTGCATGTGTGTAGCCTATGTGCATGTGTGTAGCCTATGTGCATGTGCATGTGTGTAGCCTAGAGGTCAATGTCAGGTATCTTTCAATCACTCTCTACCTTTACTTTTTGAGACAGGGTCTCTCACAGAACCTGAATCACCAATTCACCTAGGCTGGCTGAGCTTTAGGGATCCGCCCGTCTCCACCTGCCCTGGCCCCATCTTGCCTCTCAGCGCTGGTGTTCCAGGCATAAGCCACCAAGCGGCTTTTTATGTAAATTTTGGTGCTCTGAACTGAGGTCCTCAAGCTTGTGTGTTAGCATTTTACTGACTGAGTCAACACCCCAAGTCCCCCCACAAGCTTTTATAATGCCTCCATCTCTGACTAAGGGTTGCTGAAGAAATACTGTGTGTACATATTGATTGTGATGTGGGGGAAGTTTTAAGTCGAATTTATTTGTATTATTTATGAAGCAGAGAGAATAAGTTTACCATTGCAAACTGTCTACACTGATGGCAGGTAACTAAAAACTACACACAATTCAGGAGATGAGAGAATGCATAGTGGAACTTTATTTGGAAGACTAAAGCTCAACTGTCAGGGCGGTAGACCCAACATATGCAAAACACAGATTGGAGTTCTCACTGCAGACTCGAACCACATCCAAGGAAAGAATGTAGACTAAGCTGATCACTCCTACTGGGAGCTTCTTAAGATACACCCAACTCTGAACTCCGCTGGTCTGCCCTCGGGCTGCTGCTCATGAACATATTCCCTTCAGTAGCCCCTGAGGGAGCAAGAGCCTAAGGAGAGGTCAGTCCCTGCCCCAGCACCTTCCTACCCAACCTTTCAGTTCTAACTGACAAAAGCACAAACAAACAAAAAGATGCAGAATCTGGAGAAAGAAATGAAGGAGAAAAACAATCAGGTCTTTATTTTCCCTGGATACTAAACAGAATTGCCCCAGGAGAAAGAATGTGCAATAGATAAAAGTCAAAGAATCTTACTTAGGGAGCTGCAAATCCAAACCCAACACAGTAACATCTACTTTTTATTTCCTTTTTTAAAATTGACTTTTTATAATACATATGTATTAACTTCATGGTTTTAAACTCGCCTTTAATCCCAGCACTTGGGAGGCAGAGGCAGGCGGATCTCTGTGAATTCAAGGCCAGCCTGTCTACATAGTAAGTTCCAGGACAGCTGGGGGTACAGGGAGACTCTGTCTCAAAAGGACCAAAAACAAATAAATAAATAAAAATAAAATAAAATCTCAATTTTTAAATTATGGACATAACTACATACATACAGTGCTGTCTAAAATTATTCTCTTTTTTTTTCTAAAATTGTTGTCTTATAAGCCACTGTCTGGGAAAGTAACAAGTGCTAGCACTCTACTGCCACTTTGATGAACATTGCCTTTGTGTGTTGGTTTGTTTCTTCATTTTTTTCTACTTCTTAAGTCTAAGGCATTACATTCATCAGTGGAGATATTCCAGTGAACAAAACACACGGGAGCCCTATCCCCAGAAAGTGTGCTTACTTCTATGGAGACGGACGTTAAACAAGCACAGCTAACACCTGAGTTCCACTCATGCTGAGTGCTATGAAGAAGTGGGGTGGAAAGAGTCTCACAACAGCTCTCTGAGATGGAGCTCATCCTCTGCTATGAACGGAGATGCCATTGTGCTTAGTTACATAGAAGTAAGAATCGCTGGTGTGCTACTGCTCAGCAGGGTGTCTACAGGTAGCACCAATATGCAATACATTTCAAAAAGCTAGAAGGGAGGATTTTGAAGATTTTCACTATAAAGAAATGACAATGTTTGGGAAGATAAATATGTTTAACTTGACTTAAACATTACATAATATATGCATGTATTAAAACATCACCTAGTACCCCATTAACATGCAAAGTGTTTCCATTCATATTTATAAAATTAAAGTGCATTAATTATAATAGCACAAAATATTGTGGAAAATAGTAATAATACTTATCACTACTACAATAGTTATTTTATGTCAATAAAATTATTTAATGTCAGTAGGTCATTCAGGAAAAACTTGGGAATAAATGGGGAAGAAAGAAATGGGGGTATACAGAGAATGACTGCAAAGAACTCCAACGGCACTGCTGTATTCCACTGAAAAGGAAAGTTCCTCCACGTTCAGTCTTAGAGACCTACAGTGCTCACACACAACCGCAAAGAGCCGAATATTGACCAATGGAAGGATGGCCCGGGAACACGGAAGGCATCATGTGTTTTCAAAGGTTGCCCTGGATTTCCCAAAACAAATCTAATTCCACAGATCTGGTCTCTCTGTATTTTATGAAACACTAAAATAACCTGAAGATATCGATATTTTGATGTTTAAATCATATCTAAGGTTACTTCTTGAACCTACATGTAGGAAGAATTCCATATCAAACAGTTTGTTCTGTAAAACATGTTCACTAAGTTCAAAGGGCCTTGAACCTGAGGAGATAAACAGCTTCCACAGAAACCTGCTACTGTGAAACAGAACCCCATCAGCGTGCATTGCAAGGCTTCCATGTTGCTACAATCCACAGTTCTTGGATTTTATAAAGTAAGAAAATATAAAACTGGAATTTAAATATGTAGAAAGGAGTGTGCTTCATCCAAGCCACATTGTAAGTTAATTATTGATCTTGCCCAACCAGAGACAAAGACTCCTTAAAATTAGAATTCTAGGCCAATGGGCATCTCATAACAGTTCACAATGGAAAAGCTATCAGTTGATTTATTATACAAAATGAGAGTCATAAGGAATTCAAAGTGCTGCTAATGAGACAGCCAACCTTTGATGGGACCTTAACTTGGCTTCACTTTAATTTTTGCAGTCATAAAACTGTGATAATAGAAAATCATGTTCTATTAAGGAGACAGCAAAGCTATGGCACGTGTGCTCCCTCTGCCCCCTCCGTGCCCACAGTAGCCCATGCATTCTCTGTAAAAAAGGTGGCCTCAGAGGACAGTTTAACAGAACATTCAAAGAAGCTCCCTCCCACAAAGTGAAGTAGGGCCAAGAGTCAGAAACCATTCATCAACTCTTGTATGGACTGACTTACTTGACATTCATAGGACTGTATTCCACTACACCAAATGGATTCCATCCAACTTACCTCGAGGCTATTTTTAAGACCCAGGTTTGATACTACTAAGAAGTTTGAACAGAATGAGAAGAAAATAAGGTTGCATCTACCACTGAGTCAACTACCTTCCTCAGTTTCCCTATAAACAGACAGAAGATGACCTCAGCCAATCACTTACCTTATGGAGGGCAGGAGCCAAGACTGGTACTAAAAATCCATTGTAAATGTAGCCGACAAGCTGACTGCGGATCAAGGGGTGAGCCACCTGAGACAAAAGCAGCAGAAGGCAGGGTTCAGTCTGCATGGTGCCTTAAAACCTAACAATTCTGTGTACATCCTAAATTCACAAAGGAAACCCACATGCAGGGATGTATTCCATTGTTAAAGAATACTTCAGACCACACTCTGCCATGTGATTTATTTTTCCAAGTGTTTATTACAGTATAAACAGCTAGGTTAAAGTTGTACTTCCAAATATAGAAAAAAAAATGGTAATTTTAAATTCAGCTTGAAAAAGACAATAAATAGACTAAATATGCATAAGGATTTATAAATTAAAATGAACAAATTAGAAAGTATAATTCTTTGCCCCTTAACTTCCTCTAGGCCTCCTATCATTTTGTGACTAAGTTTTAAAAAAGAATATAGCTGCCAAAATGGATAATTAAATACACTTACTTTGCCAGCAGAAAGAATTTTGAAGACATATTTTCTGATATTTGTAAGGGGGGGAGGATTTATAAAATATTTTAATAAAAGCAGAAAACATTACTGAAAGTACAGTTTTTCCTATATTTGATTTTCAAAATACAAGTAACATGGATAAACCTGTATTAATGTCTTTTATAAGTAATTCTTCTAGGGGTTCCCCCAGAAAAAATTATTAAAAGTATATGCCTTTAGTTTCAAAATGCATCATAAAATAAATAATGTCCCTGTTCTTCACCATACTCATCAGCTTTACTTCAGTGAAAAGCAATTTCTAGGGAAGTTAAATCACTGATAATCTTCCTCTCTGTACATCTGAAGAGGAACTAATAGGATTGCTTTTATTTCCACACACTTCTACAAGAAAATGTTGACAGACTATAGTATTAAAGAAAAAAAAAATCTAAATGTAATCCATTTATCTTATATGTAAATAAAAGCTCCTTTGATTTAGCAATAAAAATGAGATGAGAGCGAAAATCATTTACTTTCATTTCCTCCAGAAGCTATTTCTTTATTTGGCAGATAAACAGATTATAACTAACATTTTCACCTCAAAATCACCACAAACAAACCTGATTTCTTAATAAACCCGATATTAAGGTAATATTTATGTCCCGTAAAAGAAATTTTTGATGAAAACATATATAAAATTGGATTTTTATTGAAAGCAGTAACAAGGAATCTAAACGTAAAATCTAATCAAAAAGCCAAATATGCAAGAGTTTAGCAGCTGGTTTTGGGTTTTTTTTCCCCTAAAGCAGGCCAATTTCAAAGCGAATTTAATTTTTGTTGCTAAGAAGATGGTTAACTTCTTCCAAATTCAATTGAGATAACAATATTCTTTATGTAGTATGCATCATTAAGCAAAATAAAGTGTTTTCCTTTGTAAGCTCCCAGGAAGACCTTAAAGTAAAAGTGTTATAATTTAGGGTACTTAGAAGCCTAAAAATATCTATTTAATGAGTCAGCCACTGAACTTATTTTTGATGGTTAAGTGGATCATCAAAACAGAATAATACTTTTTATAGAGAGAATAAAATGCTCTCATTTGTTCTCAATTGAAACTTTTCAGAGACCTACTAACTAATATTTTCACTCATCTGCAGGCATTCAGTGGGCTTCAAGCAAAGCACCATCATTCCATAAATATTTGTCAAAATTAACAAAGGGTACATGTACACACTAATCCCAGGCAAGGCCTGAGCTCTGACCAGGCTCCTGCTCAAGGATGGTTTACTGTGCTGCTGTACCTGGATGACTGCATTGCAAAACTCCAGGGAGTTCATGAACTGTACAAGGGAGGGCAGCAGAAGCCAGTCATCTTTGAGAAGGCAATGCCACTCTTCACCCTTTTCTTCCAGCTTTGTGGGCAAGGAAGAGTAGAGCCCACTGAGTCCAGTTGCAAGTACCTGCATTCAGAAAAAAAAAAAACATAATAGTCTTGTCTGCAGCATATGACCTACACCTAGCAGTTCACAAGGATGCCTATATTGTCGGTCCAAAGACTGAACTTTGAGTAGCAAAGTATTGACAGTATGAGAAGATTTAGCCAGCTAGGAGGGATTCAACAGGTGGAGAGAGGACCAGAGCTACTTGATGACTAGGCAAAAGGCTGATGACAGTGGCTCCTCTTTTATGTCAGGCATCATGATGAGCTGGGAGTGGAGCTAGTGAGAATGCTGAAAGTAAAGATGAACGGAACATGACTGTCATACCAAGAACTTCAGGAAAGGAACAAACTTATAAACAATACAGTACAGTACAAAATGGTCAGTGCCAATAAACAGGAGTATCTCAATTCAAATACTCTAGGCAATGGGAGGCAGCTGTGGATAAAGGTGGTCCAAGACAGGAGGATGCACAAGTAGGGACTGGGAGTGGTTTTATGAGGAAGCACCCTTGCAATTCCATGTGTGTCAAAGGTCATGATGAACACTTGCACATTTATACGTTAGGAAGCAGCCCTTTCATATACATTATCTCATCCAACAATCACAAAGAGTATAGCAGGGAGAAAGAACTGGAAGAGGTGAGCTGGTAATGGAGGTCAGCGAGACGTAGAGACAAAAGTTCAAACAGAGCAAGTGTGGTCTACTCTGAAGTGTTACCAGGAGTCTCACGTGCCAAGTGGATATGAGAATGATCTAACCAAGATCTCTGATTTTAATCCCAAACTCCTGGAGTTTACTTCTCTTTATGCTCTGCTCCTAAAACTATGCTGACAGAATTGGACTTAGTGAAAGTAAGAACTCCAAACTGCCAAGTTATCCAACTTCATCTTTAAGAAAATGGAGATGCTGGATGTGGAGAGACGCTTCAGTGGTTAAGAGCACTTGCTGCTCTTACAGAGGACCCGAGTTTGGTTCCCAGCACTCACATGGCAGTTGACAACTTACTTTAACTCCAGTTTTAGGGGATCTGATGCCCTCTTCTGGCCTCCATGGACATTGTACAAGACAGGTACACTTGCATACATGGATGGAAACAGTCAAGAAAAATATGCTGAGTCAGGTCCAGAAAAGAAATAGTGGCATACTTCATTGTTCTCCCAGTCCAAAGAGAGATGAATGAGGAATTATAATAGTGTTAGAAATGTTCAGAACACACAAGAGAAAATACAGGACTCTGTGGGTATGCAAAAGGCTCTTCAGTCAGACTTGAATGTGGGGGTAGCACAGGAAATGTTCTCAGAAGGGATGTCCAAGCTGCTGAACAGCAAACAGGAGTTAAGCAGAAAATGAGTGGTGGGAAGGAAGACTATTTCAAGCTGAGGAAACAGCATGCACAAAAGCTGAACAGAGAAAGAAGAGATGGCATCCCACAGGGCTCAGAGGCACAGCACCATTAGAACAGGGAAGGTGGACCACAGATAGAAAACGGCAAATATGAGCCTCATCTTGCAGAGTTTTACAGGCCAGGATGAAGAGCTGTGTGACATCCGGATGGAGAGCACCACAGATAGCTGTCGTGGGTCTGATGCCTAGGAGAGCGCTCTGGGGCGGAGATAGTTATCTGGAGCCATCCATATGGAGGTACCTCAAGCATATAAACCAGAGAGAGGAGGAGGAAAGGGAGACTTAGACCGGTAAAATAGGACAGAATAACACATAGAGCCTGGCAAGAGAAACATGAAGACAGAGATGTCTAGGTCCAGGTACGTTAAATCTATGAAAAAATTTCCATAGGCCTATGGTTGCCTCTCTTTTCCCTTGTCCAGCACACTCTGTATCCCTTGGTGTGGCAATCATCTCTGCAGCACGCAATAGTTTATGATCTATTTTCTCCGTCTCTTTTGATCTGACTTGGTCACTCCAATCCACACTGGAGGAACAAATAGTTTATCCAGTCAGGTAAGTTAAGTCTCGAATGTGGTCTTCCAGGATAACACACTAAATTTACTAAGAGTACAGGCCTCCAAGGTCTTAGCACAAAGACACAAGAGGAATCCATGAGAGAGACTGGGAAGAATTGGGGAGATGCTACAGGAGCCCATGTTGCAGAATAAAGGACAGTGAGAAAAATCGATGAGTGATTCCAACACCAGAAAAAATTTTAAATTATATAAATTTCTTGGTTCTATTTCCTAGTAACCTTTATCCAAACATATTTGACTCACTCCCTAAAAAAATACTGACTACTTAGTTTCAGGCCATGTACTATGGTAAATTTAGGAAACAGAACTGTAAATGAGACTGATCTTTTATATCCTTTTCAAAATCAGTGTATCTGTGGTCCCAAAGGAAAATGTCCTCTATTCGAAGTACTTAGCTCCTTGTCAATAGAATCAAACAAATCACTTTAATTCTGGTTTTGAATGTGACCCAAATGAGTTGTCTGCTATAAATTAGAAACCTCTGGCAAAAGTGAACAGAGCCCAGAGTTCTCCTTGAAGAAGTTTAATCTTGATGCCACATTTTTAAAATCAATTACATTTGCTAGCTCATGCTAAATTAACCACAGAACAAAGGCTTTAATTCTGTGTTCTCCTGGTTTCTTAACCACTTTGAGGCTTTGAAGATGAATTCATAAAGACAGGCTTAATTTGTCTGACTAAAAAGCTGGGAATAACTATTCAGTATATCAATATAATTACAGCAACATTAATTTTCAAATTACATACATCAGTGACAGTAATTAAAAATAACACATACCTAATACTCAATTTTTAAAGTGAGTATTCTAGAAGGGAATGGTTAAGATATGAACAGAAAGAAGCCTTCCCAGACAGAAGAATACTTCGGGTCCAGGACACTTCCTGAACAGAAGTAACAGCTGGTGGGTAGGTGAGTGGAGTTCCCACCACGTTCAAGCCACTATACAATACAGCTAGGAAACATCCCAGCTATCTTCTTTAGAATGGCAAGAAAAGCATAGGGAAATATTCTGCAAAATAATGAGCATTCCATGTTCTTGGAGACAAGATTCCAAATCTTCACACCTGTTCATGTCTGCATTCCCTTCCAAAGCTCTGAGTTCAGATTCATTCACACAGATTGTACACAGCTCCAGAACACAGATTGTGGCCCATTCATAGACAAGGTAGACACTGGGGATAGCAAACAAGTCAGACAGAAGAGATGGAGAGGTCTGCCTATAAGTTAACAGACACGAGAGAAACAATTTTTGAAAAACAATTATTACCCTCAAGAATACACAGAGGGCTGAGAAAGTAGAACCAGGGAAAAGGAGAGTCAAGAGTAGGTCTGTGGGTATCTTTTCCAGGTTCAAGAATTTAACAGTACAATTGATTTACTTTTAAAATTGCCCTTTTTAACTGGAAAATTAAATGACAAAAATGCAACTATATCTGCACTCAAGAGCTAACTGAAAATAAAATGCTCACCCACTATTGTAGTCTTTTACTGATTCAGTCCACAAAAAAAATTCTAAAACATAATGCTATTTCTAATATATTAAATATTAACCAAATATTTTTCATTTATCTCAAGAATATCCTTAAAAGAAACTATCATGGCCTGGGAGATGACTCAGTGGGTAAAGTGTATTCTACACAGGCATGAGCACCCAAGTTGGGATCCTAAACATTCACATGAAAACCAGGCAGGCCAAATGGCCTTCCTGATTCCAGTGCCTGGAAGGCTAAGCGGGGATCCCCAGAGCAAGCCAGCTACCTAGACTAGTCGAAACGGTAATACCCAGCTTCAACTGAGAGACCCTGCTTCAATGAGTAAGGTGCCTAGCAATCAGGGAAGATACGGGACTTTAGCCTCAGGCCTCCAAGTGCACATGCAAACATGTTCACATGCATCTGCATATACATGTGTGCTTCTACACATGGGAACACACATATACATACACATACACACCACAAATAGACACATGCAAAAGAAGGAAGGGGAAAGGGAGGAAAATCATCATCTAGGACCATATGGATAACAACAGCAAAAAGCAAAGAACTTTCCTCACTCGTGGGTATAATGGTGCTAAGGCCAGCAGTTTTAATATCAGGTTTTGAGCCAGATTCTGGCATTAACAGGTAGTTATAGCTCTTTAACTTAAATGAGCTATTGTGAGGATTAAATAAAATAATACATGTGACGAGATTAGTGCAATGGCTCACATATCCTAATGGAGGAAAGAAAAGCCATACACAGAGCACTGAGCAAGTTAATGCCCATCTTTAGCTTTAAACATCTCATGGTACACAGTTAATTTTAGCAAAAACAAAGGTTTTTAGCAGATGGCTTTAATCTGAAGCTAGCAGCAGAACACCTGGTAGAGACCATTTGATTCAACCTGCCAAAATAAAAAGCCTCATAAATTTTAGATATGGGATAAATAACTTCTTACCTGCAGCTGTGTACCTAAAGGTCACTTGCTTCAATCTGCGTTTCTTGATTTATGTATACTAGGCTGTTTGCTACCTTTGCCAACATGTGACAATTGGCTTAGGTGTAACCATCAACATTTGGTTTAAAAAAAATCAAAAAGAGAGATAAGACCATTTGTTGGTAGCATATCGTTCTGTAGGGTGTCCGTACTCTCCTTTCCTTGGGAGTGAAAAGAGAAGTGAGACAACAGAACCGGCCCCTTTCCTATCAACTCTAAAGACAAAAGTTTGGAAAAGAGGTCCAATTTGCTGAAAGAGTCATTACTCTCCCAAGAGCCTGATGCTAACATACTTTGACAATCATACTAATTAGAGAAAGCTTTTTGTCAGTTGTGGCCCTTAGCTGGCTGGTTAATAGAGTATTCTTTTATTTTCAACATAAAGGGGTCTTTTTTATTTTAATTATGTTGTCAGACTTAATTACGGAAAACCGGGTACAAATGAGATTATGGGATCTATCCTGAGGGGCAACTTAACACAAGAAACTCGTCTTCCTTTCTAGTAAATAAGGTCATCTGGCAATGTTGTTTTCCCTCTAATTTTAATGAACTGTAAGTG